TGGTTTACAAGTTTAAGGAAAATCAGTTAATGTAATATACCACACCAGTAGAATAAAAATAAAACCATATGATTATCTCAATAGGCACAAGAAAAAAAATCCGAAAAATCCAATACCTTTTCAAGATAAAAACACTCAATAAAATAGGAATTAAAGGGCACTTCCTAACCTGATAAAAGACATTTACAGCAAACCCAAGCTAACATCATACTTAATGGTGAAATTAAATTGAAATGTTTTCCTAAGACTAGGAACAAGACAAGGATGTCAACTCTTCCCACTTCTACTCAGCATGTTATTAGATACCCATTAGGCAACAAATCCACCAATTACTAATAAATTTAAAAGTAAATAATAAATAATGATAGATAGCCAGATTGGAAAAGGAGAAGTAAAACTATATGCACAGATGACATAATTTTGTCTATAGAAAAAATCTAAGAAATCCACTAACATACTATTAAAATTAGTAAGTTCAGCAAGGCTGTGAGATACATGGTGAATATATAAAACTCAGTTTATCTCTATAAACTTGAAATAAACAATCTAAAAGTGAAATTAAGAAAATAATTCCATTTATAATAGCATCAAAAAATAAAATATTTAGGAATTTAACAAAAGAAGTGTAGAATTTATACACTGAAAATCATGTTGAAATGAAAGAAAATCAAAATAAATGGAAAGAAATTCCATGTTCATGAATCAAGACAGTATTATTAATATGGCAATACTCTTCAAATTTATCTACAAAATCAAAGCTATTCATATAAGAATCCCAGTTGATTTCTTTGTAAAAGTTGGCAGGCTGATCCTAAAATTTATTTGGAATTACCAGGTACCCAGAATTACCAAACAACCTTGAAGCAGAAGAAAAATGTCAGAGGACTCACAGTTTGTGATTTCAATATTTACTACAAAGCAACAGTAATTAGGACAGTGTGGTACTGGCAAAAGAACAGACATATATATTAATGGAAAAGAACTGAAAGTCCAGAAATAAACCTGTGTGTCTATGGTCATTTGATTTTTGACAAGGGTGCCAGGACTGTTCAATGGGGAAAAAACAGTCTTTTCAATAAATGGTGCTGGGACAACTGGGCAGTCACTTACAAAAGGAAATTGGGCCCTTATATATCATACCATGTATAAAAATGAACTCAGAAGGGATCAAAGTCCTATAAGAGATACACTAAAAACTCTTAGAAGAAAACATAGTGGTAAACCTGCATGGCCTCAAATTTGGCAATGGATTAGTAGATACGACACCAAAGCACAAGCAACAGAAGAAAAAAAAATAGATTAGACCCCATCAAAATTATAAACTTCTATGCTTCAAAGGCCACTATCAAGAAAGTGAAAAGGCAACCTGCAGAATGGAAGAAAATATTTGTAAACCATTTATCTGATAAGGGACTTATATATAGAATATATAAAAATGTCTTACAACTCAACAATAAAGACAAATAACCCATTTAAAGAATAGGCAAAGGACTTGAATAGACATTTCTCCAAAGCAGATATACAAATGGCTAAGAAACACATGAAAAGATGCTTGATATCATTAGTCATGAAGAAAATGCAAATCAAAACCATGAGATACCAACAGTGAGATACTTCACACCCATCAGGATGCCTACAGTCAACAAAGTCAGATAATAACAACTGCTGGCTACAATGTGGAGAGACTGGAACCATTCTCACACAGTGCTAGTAGGAATGTAAAATGGTACAGCCACTCTGGAAAAGAGTCTGGCAGTTTTTCTCAGTTAAACAGTAATCATCAGACCCAGCAATTCCATTCCTAGGCATATACCTAAAAGAATTAAGAACAGGCATTCAGAAAAATACTTGTACATGAACGTTTATAGGTGCATTATTCACATTAGCCAAAAGGTGGAAACAACCCAAATGTCCATCAGCTGATGAATGGATAAATGGGTATATCTACACAATGGAATATTATTCAACAATTGAAGGAATAAAAAGGAACAAAGTACTTATACATGCTTCAACATGGATACCCTTGAAAACATTATGCTCAGTGAAAGAAACCAGTCATAAAAGACCACACATTAGGGCAAAACCAGAAACACTCTTCCCAGAGGATGGTGAAGACAAAAATTGAGCCCTATCCTAAGAAACATACAGGGGCAAATTTAAAAAATTTTGAATTCCATGGAGGTGTTAGATAAATGTTAGCAATCACTCACACATCATCACAACTGTACACATTGAGCTCATTACTTATTAATAAATGCTCATTTACTAATAATCAATAATGTTTTATTTATAATTTATTAGCATCATTAATAAAAATTAGATTAATTTATTTAAAGACAACCACATATTATATGATTGTGCTTATATGAAAGATTCAGAATAGGCAAAGTTATTAAGATGGAAAGTAGATTGGTGGTGAAATTTCATTTTTACATCCAATAGATGAAAGCTACATCTTCAAGATAAAGGAATATATATTGGTCATAATTAGTGTTTTTTAAATTTCTTGAACATTTACTCAGAATCATAACGGAAACATTTTTATTCTTTGGCAAATGTTTTTGAATATCAAAAATCTATATTTATTTTTAAATTTCATTTAACCTATCTAGGTAAATGTGAAAGAAACAGTATATATTCTATAATATATAATGCACTTAGAAAACATTAATACACCTTTGTAAGTCCACCTTCTACCCTGTTATTATTAGTAATCCAATTCCTTCTCTTTATTTTATTATTAGCTTCATTCTAGTAATAGCCATCCAACCATACATGAACTAATTGAAGGATAAAAACTCAAGCTCTTCCATCTCATTAGAAGATACCCTTCTAAAGGCATTACATTTCAAATTTATTATAAAAATGTATAACATGTTTATATTGTCTTGACTGATTATGTTAATGCTAATTAAAATAATTCAGAAGAATTTTTCTAACACTTAGCCTTATGCTCATAGTCAATATATTTTAAAAAGTAATTTATTTACTTTTTAAAATTATTTATTAAGGTATTATTGATATACAGTCTTATGAAAGTTTCACATGATAAAACAATTTAAATGTAGTGGTTACTACATTTATCCATATTATCAAGTCCCCACCCATACCCCAATGCAGTTACTGTCCATCAGTGTAGTAAGATGCCACAGATCCACTATGGGCCTTCTCTGTGCTACACTGTTCTCCCCGTGATCCCCCACATCATGTGTACTAAACATAATACCCCTCAATCCCCTTCTCCCTCCCTCCTGACCTGCCCTCCCACACCCCTCCCCTTTGGTAACCACTAGTTCCTTCTTGGAGTCTCTGAGTCTGCTGCTATTTTGTTCCTTAAAAAGTAATTTATATCAATACTTTGTCTTGGCAATAAGTACGGTATGGTGATAAGAGACTTTAAAGATCAATGATAAAATTCTTTGGGGGAAGTGGATGGGAATCTGAGTTAAAAAGGAATGATGTAAAATTTCTGATTGTTAAAGAGCTTATTCATGTTCATGTATTTTTTTAATAGATGATGTCATGTATCAAATTGTTATGGGATTTCAATTTCTTTGGCTATATTTAAAGAATGATGTAATCATTTTATGTTTAAATGTCAATATGTGGGAAATTCCATTGTTTGCAATTATTTAAGTTATGATAGAAAATTTGTATGACATCTTAAATATGTGAAAAGGGGGATGTTGTTTTTAGGACTTCTTTTAAGGATAGCTGCTCTAGAGTATGTAAATAAAATTGTCTTCACACGTATTAGATTATTGCCGGGTTGCTCTCTGGAGTAGTTGTACAGCCTTGTGTGGGTGGGAAGGCTTCTTGTCCCTATGCCACCACCAGAACTTGGTGTTTTTCAGGCTCTTCCAATCTGAATGTGAAAAAGTATCATATTTTAATTGCCTTTGCTCCCAGTTGTCTCTAACACTCCTGCTCCACTCCTGATGCTATTTTTCTTTGAATAAAGTAAGTCAGTTGTATCTAAATCACAAGCCAGTTTCACTATTCTGAAATTTGATTACTTAGCTTTGCATTCATTTTAGGCTCATTTTTTTAATGATTATGTAGACCAGACTCCCCCCTGAACCTCCCTGGTGACCTGGGCCAGTGTTCAGAGCCAGGGGCTGGAGGCTGTAATTCCCTCTGTGACTTTTTGACAATTATCTAACTTTCCTGTATTTCCTCATTGACACGGTTGGGATAATTGCCTTTCATACCTCATAGGAGTATTGTGAGATTAATTAATGTTTGTAAAGTGTTTTCAGAATCATGATGAAAGGTATTAATTTGTAAGCATGTGGTATTATTATAATTATTGGTAGTAATAGGAATGGTTGTTTAATGCAAATTTTCATCTAAGTGTAATGTCATATTTTCAAAGGAGAATCTCTTTCTTTGTGGCCAGATGTGGATACAATTAACCCTTTACCCTTTATTTTGAAGATACAATTAGCCAATTGTGTGTGCAATTAGACGTGTGTGCAGTTTTTGCCAGAACAACTAATTACAGCCTTGGTAAAAGTCTTTTTGAAAATGCTGGCCCTTTGAATCTTGACTGTCCCTATCTATGCAATAAGTAATTTGTGCTTTTTGTATTTTGGAGCCATAGAGCCTCCTGAATACTGAAGAATTGCTTTTGTGATTACTGGAGAAAGATTCTCCATTCTTGAAGCCATAGCTTTGTATTTTGCCAGCAAGTCTAAAAACCCTTCCACAGAGTTCTGGTTTCAAAGGGTTTTATTGATTTTTCTTAATCTTGACATTCAGCTGAAAGATTTTCCACAGACTACATTTTGTGAAACAGGTTTTTCTTTTGTAATTTTTTTCCTCTTGAAAACTCTATTTCCTTTCTGTCTCCATTTCTTTTCTTTCATCTGTATTCCCCTTACTCACTAAGTGGTGAGTAAGGAACAGATTATTACTGATCCTCTCCTCCCAAATATGGTCTTGTGATGCCATTTTACAGGGGACTTTTAATCACTATAATGTAAATTCTATTTATACAGAAGAGAAGAAAGAATACTGGGAGACCAGGAAGATACTGTTATATCCCCATCTCCACTGACATCCTGTTATTAAGTGAAAGAGGAATGTTCATGGCTTTTAATGGTAAGTTTAAAAACAGACTCTTTCAAGGTGTCTGTACTTCAACTCTTCTTGTCACCGATAAATCCTTCAGTTTGACTGTGTATAAGACCCCATCCTACCACCGTGGGAGATTCAGAAATGAGCAAAGCACACTTGCCACCTTCTGGGAGCTTGGAAGAAAGCTGAAGATAAGAAAGGTGCCCAGGTCTGCAGACTGTGGTAAGTGTTGTGCAAAGGGCTGGGGGCCAGGAGGACAGTGGGGCAGTCCTGGAGGGATGGCAGGGTGGGGTATGTGTCACACTAATCAGGGCATCAAGCAGAAGCTTCTCCTGAGCTGCACTTGAGATGGGACCTTAATGACAGGTCAACTTTTGATAGAGGGAGAGTTTGAAAGACAAAAGGGAATGTTTTTGTGTGAGCAAAGCTGCTAAAAGAGAGGCAGGTTCAAGGAAGAGTGAGTGGTTTTGCTAGAGTTGGAAAGGAAGTGGTAGGAGATAAGACTACAGAGGCAGTGCAGGGACACTCTGTGGAGGGCCTTGAACGGTAGGTAGAAAAATGTCCCAAACTTGAAGCCACTGGACGGTTCTGCTAGAGCTGTTTGACTAGAGCCATGCTTTAGAATTAAGCAGGTGCCAGCATGCCAGATGGAGCGCCACAGGGACAGACTGGGGAGAGGAGATGCAGGCAGAGGTGCTGCCAAAACGAAGCCCAGAGTCATCTCTGGACTGTTAGCACTGGGAGAGAAAGAGTTATTGTACACATGAGGCACACTGCAGAGTTAGTATTTCTTGATATTGGTGACTATCCTGACACAGAGGTGAACGACAGGAAGAAGCTGGGTCAGAATGACCGGGGAAAAAAGAGGGAATTAACTTTCATCGAAACAGGGAGATGAGAAGGGAGAGCCTTTTAAGAGAACCAAAATTACCACAGTATGTTATGTTTATGCAAATAGACAAAAATAGCAGGATAGAGAGAGATTAATTCTAGATACCTAATGAAATATTTTCAATAAGAATAGTGCAAAATAATTATATTGTATCTCAACAAAATCAACTTATATTGCTGGAGCATCTTATTAACATGGCAAATGAGAGAATATAAACAGAGAGCTTGGAGAAATTAAATCCATTTCTTGGAGCCTATTAAGTCTGATACTATTAAAAACCGATTGAAAAAAAAAAAGCTATACATATATGCTCTATGTCCAAAACATGGCTCTGTGTATACACTTCAAGAGTATCTGTAGTCACTGAAAAGCAGCTAGAACATTGGTAATTACTTTTTCAAGTTTCTATTTGAAACACTTAAAATGAAGAAGCCAGTGCAAAGCAGTTTTCTCATATCTTATCTTAGGAAAGTCTGATATCCATCTTGTTCTGCCAAACACTGGTATCTAAGGAGGTTCTATGGATAATTTATCATGCTGTCAGCCTCAAGAATGTGGCGATGTACCAAACCAAGTCTCCTTAACATCCCTCGATAACCTGACAGGATTCTGTCATCTGTAAATCTCTTACCCTCTTTCCAGTTTTCAAGCTTCACCATGTTGTTCAGTAATAAATCTGATAATTCAGGGAGACATAACCAATAATTAAAAGAAAATGTCTTCTCGGCCATCACTTGTAAAATGAAAAGTCTGTAATCCATATGGTAGGTGTTCTATGCACATAATTTTGGTTGCCTTTTTCCTAAAATAATGAAGTACTATGGAAAGATCATGAGCTTTACAATGATAATCTAGTTACCTTTTCCATAAAATGCAAACCATGAACTTTATCATTCCATTTGCACAGGCTAAATATTTGGAGTTAGGCTGACTCCTCTTATCTCTAACACCTATATCGAAACTACCAGCAAATTCTGTCAGCTGTCCCTTCAGATATATTCAGAATCCATCACTTCTTGCCCCCTTCACTGCCTCCTTGGTCAAAGCAACCATTATCTCCTACCTGGATTACAGTAATAGCTTAACTCCCTCCATTCTTGCTACTCAGCAGTCTATTCTCATCTACACAAAGGACATAAGTGATTCTTTTCAAACACGTGACAGATCACTTTCAAGTACAAACCGAAATCTTTGACCATAACCCAAGGTCCTGTGTGGTCTGGTTTCCCAGCAGCCCTTTATCCTGCTACTCTTTCCTTTGTTCATGCTGCTCCGGCCTCACTGCCTCCTGGCTGTCATTCACCTGCCTCAGTGCCTTTGCTGTGGCTGTTCTGGCCTGAGACACACTTCCCTCATCTCCTACAAGTGTTTCTTCAGTTACCATCTAAGGAAAGCCTTTCCTGACTAACTTTATTTGCAAGTGTAACTCCCCACCCAACACTATCCATGCCTCCTCTCTACTCTTTTTCTTCTTAGTACCTATCACCACCTACTACTATACAATGTGTCTTACCTCATGTTATTATATGTCCTTCCCAGGGCTTATAACAATGCTTGGCATAGTGGAGGTGTTCAGGAAATATTTGTTGAATGAATGAAAACACCATACTTTTAGGTACTTGCTATTAAATGCAATGGTACATCAGAACAGATACTTGCTCAATAAATGCTACCTTAATTCCCTTCTCAAGATGTTGCATACAGAGTTGCACACAGAATATAGTTTTATGCAGAAAACTGATCATTATTTAACATGTGACTAAAGGACTATATTGCACTAGTGCCTTGAGAAAGCATTCTTCCATTTCTCTGTCTACTCATTCAGGCTTATGAGATCTTCCTGCAATTTATTTGTCTGTTTGAAATCATTTTACTTAGAAGATAAATCTGACATTTACAAAAAACCAGTCTTACTAATGGTTTCCAAACACTTAAAAATGTTTTCCAACTAGATTAATTTGTATCTATTCCAAATTTTTATTTCAGTTCCACAAATTATTTTTCTAAGAGCTTTTGGGAAAGAAAACTTGTCAAAAGCTTTCTTCTCTATTGGTATCTAGTAAGTATTTGTTAGTAATGATTGTTTTCTGTTTAAACAAAATTTGCTACTTAGAAAATATTTTGGGGGCAAAGGTATTTATATGCATATAAAGTACACATGTACAAATACATTCAAGGGGATAAATTACTCAAATACTCTGTTGTATTTTATTTTCCTAATCTATCAAAGACTATTAGAAGTAACCAGCAATTCCAATACTGCAAATTACCCAAAAGAAACAAATCACTGACTTGAGCAGATATATGCACCCCAAGTATATACTGCTGCATTATTTACAGTAGCCAAGGTATGGAAGCAACCTAGGTTTCCATCAATAGATAAATGGATAAAGAAGATTTGGTACATATGTACAATGGAATATTATTCATCTAAAAAACAGGAAGAAATCTTGCCATTTGCAACAATGTGGGTAGAACTAGAGGATATTATGCTGAGTGAAATAAGTCAGAGAAAGACAAATATCATATGATTTCACTTATATGTGGAATCTAAAAAAAACAAAACAAGTGAACAAAATAGAAATAGGCTTACAGACATAGAGAAGAGATAAGGGGTTACTCTGGGGGAGGGGTGGGGTGGGGTGAAATAGGAGAAGGGGATAAAAAGACACAAAGTCTCAGTTATATAGTCACAGGAATGAAAGCACAGCATAGAGAATATAATCAATAATATCGTAGTATCTTTCTATGTTGACAGCAGCTATACTTACTGGGGTAAGCATTTAATAATATAGGTAACTATTAATCACTATGTTGTGAACCTGAAACTAATATTGTATATCAACTATGCTTCAATAAAAAATATATTTAAAAAAGAAGTATATATTAGTCACTCACTATCACTATAATTCTACTATTTTCTGTTTGTATTTATGTGTTTTTGGTTTGTTCTGTATATATTGATCCTTTTTGATGTCACACAATTTGTGACTTTTAAATTTCAGTATGAATTTTGTCTTTTGCCAACAAGTTTTTTAAAAATTTTTTCTACCACATTTTATATAACATTTTTATTGTTGATATCTGCTTTCTTTTTTTTGCCTTTTTGTTTTTAATTTTATGAGTTCTAGTAATTCATTCATTCACTCATTCACTGACTGATACAACACATATTTATTGAGCTCCTAGTAATACAGGTGTGAACAGGATAGCCATGGTGCTTTCTTATGGAGCTAATATTCCGGTGCAGAGAATTAAGCAATAAATAATTATTATAGTAGTAAGTGCTGTGAAGAAAATAAAATACCATTATGTGCTAGTATGACAAGCAGCATGATAAAAGTCAGGTAACAAAGGAGATTATTTGTCAATAAAGATATTTAAAACACACTTATTGAAATAACTGATACAAGATCACACATATCAACTATCTTATTTTAGGTTTCCTGGGGTTCTTTCCTTTTAGTTTTTATACTTTTCGTTCCTACAAATAATAATATCTTATTTTTTTCTTCAATTATACAGAAATCATTGAATAAATAATATTTACACAAGTGGTTATTTTTACATTCTCTAAAAACATTCTCCAGTCTAAATTTTGCCTAACCATTAAGTCTAATTACATGTTTTATTTCTTCCTTTGTAACATGTAAAATGTAATCTTCCATACTCCTTCTTACTTAGAGTCTTTATTAATGTAATCTTTAGGGTTGGATTTAATTAGTTGTATTAAATAACTATCTTAATTTGGTTTCGTAGCCACAACAATCATACTTATTTACTTCTACATTTAACTGCTTTTAATGCTTAACCATCAATCTTTATACAATAATTTTATCTTCGTGAATTTCTTAATTTTTGATATTAAACATCTTTACATAATTACTTTAAATATGGCTTAAATGTAGTTTTAAGCTCTTGCATATTTAAAACTGTTTCTGTTGTCTTTACACATGAACAATTTTATTGGCTATAAAATTCTTATGTCATAAGCATTGGTTTTTTCAAAACTGTACATATCACTCCATTCTCTTTTGGGTAGATAACTGGTTTCATCTTTTTTGTTTCATTCAATAGTTTCTTTACCTTTGAAATTTAAAAATTTGCCATATATAGCAAGGTACATGGGTCT